CTGTCCAACATCTGTCTGCTAGCATGTTTGTATCAGCAAAATACAGCGTAATGTGTTGTTATTAACTGGTATTGCTAATGATGGTTAATGGCTAACCTGGCTACGGTCAACTCGGGTGGGATGTCAATATTGTGTGTACAGTTGGTTGTGCTACTCCCAAAAAGCTGGCTGATACTGATGTCAGTACTCTTGTCAAGGCAGAGGTGCAGCTCTGGGGCTATGTTTCATTGGTAACATTTGGGTTTACCCTACTACTTCCTGCCAAGATGGCTGCTGTGAAAAAGGTCTATTACTGGATGTAGGATATTTATATTTTTTATATTTTGGGTTTACCCTACTACTTCCTGCCAAGATGGCTGCAATTAAAAAGGTTTATTACTGGATGTATGATATTAGAACAATGGTTACACATGGTACCCCTGTTACTATGAGCACTGCTACTTGACCCCTCCACCACAGACGAGAGTATGATGTCATCAGAGCACTCCACTTATGTGCCCATAAAACTAAAGGTTACAATGTTAATTATTCAGAATCAAAAATATGCTCTTTTATAGTTGCTATATCATCAACCTGGTTTTTGGATAAATTCTTGATGAGACTGGAAGCAGTGTATAAGTGCCCTGGAAACCCCATCTCTTACCTATGTCTAGATCTGTAAAAAAAAAAGATACAGTTGCTGCAAGGTGTACTTTTTCACTGTTGATGGAGCTGCGCTGTTTTCCCTTGCTTCTAGCCACCCAACTAAGCAAAGCTTTTCATGTCCAAAACTGATATTGATCTTCCAGTCTAAATCTGTGCGATGGCAAACAAGCAAGTTTACCAAATGTCAGAGTGTTCCTGTAAGAGCCCAAAGGGTTTTCACTGATTTCCTGAGAGAACTTGGGACACTATGAACTTGAATACATCATGGCTTATATATTAGGCACAGGGTCTACTCAGCTAAGTCAGCAGTAAACCTTGGCCTCATTGCTCTTGATGAACTTTCTGTGACATGGAGATGGGAACAATTATCATTTGGAGTTAATATTCCCTGTCCTGGAATTGATAGCCGTGGCTTTGTTTTCACTGTGTGCCAAAAACAGAAACATTTTGAATGCCTCTCTAATATTTATCGTGGAAATTAACCGTGCTCTTCTAACTAATATCCCTGAACTGACAGCTGAAACTACACTGCATGGTGCATCTTCTTAAAATTGATCTCAAAATGTTTGGCAAACGAACAGCGAGAACTCTCCACTGAGCTGGTTTGTCTACACAGCTCTGTAATTCCATTCCTGTGAGACCATGAGGACAGCAGTGGTATCGTGATGGGACGGGAAGTTGGGATATGGACCCTGCCTGGCGCCTTGAAGACTACTCTGCACCATCCTGAGATGTAAAAGATCCCAAATATGACATGACCCCGTGTCTGTGGTGACAGCGTAACATGATGATCACAAACTTCAAAACACGCTCCTCAACATGACTGTAATCACTGATGGCAGTGACTGGGGAGGGTTGCTGTGATGGACGGCTACAGAAAGTAACAAGATGCTTTTAGAATGCATACAGTAGAAAAATGTATTCAGTATATAGCTTAGGCACGGGACGATATAAAAAGTTCATGTCACGATTATCTTGACCAAAATAGCTGCAATACACGATATCGCAATAATCATGAAGATGTACCTCATGCCTTTAAAATGGCACTAAAACCTGGAATCACTTTACCTACTGCATGACTGGAGGTGAATATGAATTCCAAGGTCTTTGCCAATTTGTTACCATAAAATAAGAATCCCGTATTGCTTTTTAGCTATTAGGAGCCCAAATTCTGTGGTCAGCAGTTATATTGTGTCATTGCTGATCAGCGGATGGACAGGATGATGAGTGTCCTTTCAGTCTGCCTCTATCAAAGTGGATGGACCTGACATATAAAACTACCTTGTTGGGTCTCGTATTTCTGACATCTGTTTCTGTCATTAAGACACTTTATTTTTCTGTTTTGGTTGTCTGTCTAATGTGACGTTACTCTAAACTAATTATACCGTAGTTTGTGTATATTAACCATACATATGGTTTTTATCTCCACTTCCTACGTTACTTTATGCTGTTTACAAGGTTCATCATTAGAAGGTAGGTCAGCTCAGTTTATTGAATTATTAAGATTAAAATACCCTCTGCTCTAGACTGTCAAAACAAACTCCATTTCAAAAGCAGGTGCTTTATGGAAGGGCCATATTTTTTTCACGGTTAAAACTTTATTTACACCATCACAAAGACCCTTTACTGATTATCTTTAATCTACAGACATAATCGGCATGCATGTCATTTACTCAGCAACATCATTAACTAACCTGTGATAAAGTGTTTGACAGCAGCACTCTGTCAGACATGGACGGTTGAGCTGTTGAGCTGTTGACTGAGAAGTAAATGTAGTTTTTTAGCACATGAGACCACAGGAGTCTTCCTCTGCTCTCTGGACTTCTTCTTACATATTTATTAACGTAAAACAGCGAGGTAAACAGACAGGCTGCAAGCTTTTAAATCTCCCGCTGTTGCACCTGGTGACGCATCCAACCCGACTCAGAGGGGCTGGTAGGGCCCTGTCAAGGGGGTACTAAAGGGTGGAATCAGTGACAACCTAAACAGGCCACAGTGCCCCCGCTGGTTTCGGCTGCTGCGTACCATCGAGAATCCCTTGGAAGTCATAAGGGCTCGTCTGTCTCTTATTTTTGCCGCATTCAAGACACACAAACAAATTTTATTAAAAATGTTCAACTAAACAACAAAATGTATGTTCAGTCAGGCAGATTGGCAACCTCTGCCCCGAAACTCTAAATAAAAGTATGTATGTTAATCCATAAATGTATGTTACATTACACCAATGAAAAAGGTTTACAATAAAAATTGTTTTTATTCTTCAGAGATTAAATTGATTATAGGGAGATTAAAAAGCATTTACTCATAGTTTTGTATCTGAAAAAATCGGCATGCATGTCATTTACTCAGCAACATCATTAACTAACCTGTGATAAAGTGTTTGCCACAGATGGACACATACTGACTGTCCGGGTCCCACAGTTGACCATTTTTATTATCTCTGTGGATAACCTAAAGCCACAAATCTCTTCTTTACTGTCCTATGTTGATTAGGAAAGTAAAGAAAATCATTCACTGGCTCTTTTTAAATAGTTTGATGTAAGAAATGCGATGTAGCAGCTTTTAGACATAGTACCACTAGACACTTCTAAAGCTCTTGTTTCACCCAGAAGGGGTCATTCTGAAGACAAGAAAGTGACATATGGCTTCACTTATCTTTGCTAGCTAGCTAGACAACTTTTTAAAGTCAAGCCATGTGAGGATATTCACGATTATCAAGGTAATTTAAAAAAAAGTTTTTTTAATCATGCATGATGATATCCTATATCGTCCCATACCTAATATAGCTGTATCTGATCTCATTCTTTTCGAATATCCAACTACTTCACATAAATGGGTCAGAATCTTAGTTTTATATCAGTTATTTCCATCAAGATGACCTCTGTAGCTTTTGGAAAGCCAGCAGCCCTGGACTACAGTGACTGACACCTCATTAACCCACCACAGCCCTGAAGAGGCCAACACACCATAGTATCCGTTACTTTGTATCGTTAGTCCTGCTTGTGGGGATGCTTGTTGCCCCCAGAATAACTACAAGAGGTCACAGTGTTGAGTGAGCTCACAGTAAATTAAACATAGGGACACACACACACACACACAGACAGGCAGACAACACCCCATTAGGTTTACCCGAGTTTGTAGGCAACACCCCAGGGGATTTGTCTGTATGAGTGCCACAGCTTGAGTGCATTCATGGCTCCATGTTCGAGGCCATGAAGGTAAGAGTACCCTGACCCGGGCCAACCTATGCAACAGGACCAGGGTATACAGCCATGCTAACAAACTGTAAGAAAATACTCCAGTGCTTAGAACTTAAGGCTAATGTCAGCATGCTAACATGCTCACAATGGCAATGCTAACATGCTGAGGTTTAGCAGGTATAATGTTTACCATGTTCACCTTCTTAGTTTAGCGTGTTAGTATGACATAATTATCTAATAAGCACTGCTTATAAGTAGTGCCGATAGCCCCTTTCAGAACCACCCTCAAAGTATAAAAAAGTAAAAGTAAGTAAGATCATTAAAGTAAGCAGCAATCAGAATTTGCCATTCAGTGATGCTGGAGTCAGAGCCGTATAGCCTGCACAGTACAGCCACATAACCAGCCCACACATTAGAACAAAAGCAACAACAAACAACACAGGCCAGATAGTCAGGACATGAATCCACTGCAGCCTGTTTGAAATGTCCAGTAACTCAAACCTGACCACCATCATCATCATCATCATCATTATCATTATCATCATCATCATCATCATCATGGTTGCTTTCAGCTACCTGCAGGGAGGTAGCTGCTGCTGATGCTCACTAACACCGTCACCGTTTGGCTATCAGAGCTAACAGCAGCACTCTGTCAGACATGG